TCATGAAACACAATGTCTCTAGAAATGTGAAAGATTTAAGAAACAAGGTCATATACTTTGAAACCTTTATATCCAGCAGGATAACCAAGAAAGACACAAGGAATAGCTCTTGGAGTATATTTGTTTCTATGTTGAGGAATTATGGAAATGCAGCACAAGCAACCAAAGAATTTAAAGTCAGAGTATATAGGTAGTTTGTCATATAAAAGCTCAAAAGGAGACTTACTTTTCAAGATCATGGAATGTGTTCTATTGATGATGAATGTGGTTGTGGCTATGCAATCACCCCAAAACCTGATTGGTAGTTTGGCTTGGAACATCAAGGATCTGGCCACATTCAACAAGTGTTGATGCTTTCTTTCAACCACATAATTCTGTTCAAGTCTGTAAGGACAAGAATATTGATGAATGGTGGCTTGCTCATGAAGAAATTGAGTCATCTGCAATTCCTTGGCATTGTCAGACCTCATAGCTTTAATAACCTTGCCAAATTGAGTCTTTATCATGGTAAAGAATTGTTTGATTTTGATATGAGCCTCTGATTTGTTAGCAATTAAATAAATCCATGTAAACCGAATGAAATCATCAACAATTGTTAGAAAATAAGATTTTCCATTATAAGTAGTTTTTCCAAAGGGACCCCCATAAATCACAAAGAATGAGATCAAAACTATTGGGAGAAACATTATTAGCAGATTTAAAGGGAAGCCTTTTTAATTTTGCTAGAGGAAAAATGGTACACTTGTTGGAATCAAAAGTAGAGGGAACAACAAATTCTATTTTGCTTCTAGAAATCCTTAACATAGAATCAAAAAGATGTCCTAATGATGCCATAATTTGGCACTGTTATTGGATGAAACTGTATTACAATAGCTAAGACTATTATTACAATGCTTATATGAACTGTCATGATGCTTGTTATTGTAGGTCTTGAGAATGTACAATTCTGAAATGAGGTTATCCTTGCCAATCATCTTGGATTGTTTGGTGTCCTGAATGAAAACATGATGACCATCAAAATTCAATTGTAGACTAGGTAACATAAGTAACTTGGCTACTGAAATGAGATTAACATAGAATGAGGGAATGTGTAGGACATTATGAAGGGTCAATTCATCATTGATAATGACTGTGCCAATGGCATTGACATCGATCTGAAATCCATTAGGAAGAGTGACAAATTTATCTAGCAAGGGTTTATATGAATGAAAGAAAGAGATGTTGCAACAAATATGGGAAGTAGTACTTGAATCTATGATCCAAAGACCAGAAGATTGTGATTTATGTGAGTCATGAGTGGAAAAACTCATACCTATGACAGAGTTAATAGTAGGATTCGCCTCAGAAATCCCAGACTTGAACATTTGAGCTTGGACATAGTCAATAATCTGCTGGAAATTTTGTGAAGTCATAGCTGCTACATCAGATCCTGCTGCAGTACTTGAAATGCTTGGCTCATGAATGTTTTGGTTGTGTTGCAAAGACTTGGAACCTGGAGCAGTCTTTCTATAACCTGGAGGCTAGCCATGTAGTTTGAAGCATTTCTTTTTGACATGTACAAGCATGCCACAATGAGCACAAGTTGGGTTATCTTTCTTGGAGTTCTTAGAAACAGTTTGAACAGCACATGCCATAGGGTTTCATTATGAGAAATGGTAGTGAGCTCTCTTTGTTTCTCATCTTGAGTAACCACTGAAAGAACATCATTGATGGAGGGTAAAGGGTCCATGAGCAGGATTTGGCCATGCACTTGATTGAATGATTTATTCAATCCCATCAAGAAGGTAAGAGTGTGCTCACTTTGAAGATGATCAATGATGGGTTGCACACCACCACAATGACACATATGAGTAGGCCTGAATTCACCCAGTTCTTCCCATAATGACTTAAGTTGCATGTAATAGGAACTAACAGTTAAAGAACCTTGGGTGCAATTCATGAGATTCTTCTTTAGCTGAAAAACACGAGGACCATTTTTATGCTGAAAACAATCATGCAGTTCATGCCAGATTTTTGCAACATTGGCTGTATAAATCAAACTAGTAGATATTTCCTTCGAAACTGAATTTAGAAGCCAAGAAGATATTGTGCTGTTGTTTCGCATCCAAGAACGAAACTGAGGAGAATCTTCTGCATATTTTGGAATGGTACCATCCACAAACCCATCTTTGTTTTTTCCATCAAGAGCCATGAGCATGGCATGACGCCATGAATTGAAGTTATCTCCAACCAGTGGTTGAGAGACCAAGACAACTTCAGGATGATCAGATGAATGGAGATAATAGGGATCATCATGGTTAGCCATGAGAGAAACAAATCACGATGTAAGAGATGGGAGGAAGAAGAAGAAAGAAGGAAGAGAAGATGCGGAAGCAAGATCAAGAAATTTCTGCTGATACCATATTGTAGTAAAATGGATTCATGGTGGAAAACTCCATGTAATCTTGTATTGGATGTGGATTCAGTATTATACAAAAAAAGGAACTCACTTTTATATATATATATATATATATATATATATATATATATATATATATATATATATATATATATATATATATATATATATATATATATATATATATATATATATATATATATATATGAGAAAGAATGAAAGTTAGTTATAACTAACTCTAGTTAGGTAGTTGCACTACTCAACTAACTATTAACTAACTAAAAGGCTAAAACCTCTTAATACTAGTTATTCCTTTTTTAGATCTCAACCAATCTACAACAAGCATTTACATCAAAGTCCTGTTTGCTTTTATCGGTGGTGGTCTTCAAGATAACTTTCTCCACAAATCATGAAAGTAGAAGCATCTACTTTTGTCCAACTATAAGGTAACCTAACTATAATCTTTTGGAAGAGTTAGTTCATACAAGTATATAATGCTCTCTTCTCCAACCAATTTGTGTTGGGTAACTAGCAGATTCTAGAAAATATTAGATCTAGTATATTGGGTGATCAATCTTGATTTTGTTTATGGTTTCAATTTAGTTTTTGCATTGAGTGAGCGAATTACAACGGAATGAAAAAAAAAAATCTAAATCACAAATCATAAATTTAATTTTAAATCTCAAATAAAAAACTTAAGTTTAAATTCCAAAACATCAATGAAAGTCTAATCATTGAATTTCTACCCATTTGAATTAACCAATGATTATGTTTTTGGAGAAATATTTGCATGAAAATACACTTACCTTTATATTCTTAGAAACATTTAATAAGAGAGAAAATTTTAAATTTTTTTAAAATTTAATTTTTTTATAATTGGAATCAAGGATGGTTGTGATATAAAGAATAGAGAAAATTTTATTTTTACTTTTTAATTAATAACAAAATTATAATTGATTAAATGTAAAACTAGGTGTTATGGTGATTTCCGTCTAAGAATTTTCCTATCTTTCTGTGTGCTTTTAACATGTTTATGTTTCGGAAAAACAAAATATTTCTACAGAAAGTTAGTGTAATCATGTTGGTTTTAATTTGAGTTTATGATTTTTCTACTACATCCTTTAATCGAACAAAGACTTTGGAAGAGTTTAAAGATAAAAAAATATTCATGTTGTTGAGACAATATTAAATTTCTGGTGGACGACCAACAATTACACATCTAAATACAGATTTGAGATTTTGATATTTTGTTCATTAATCAATTTCATTTTCATAATTAAATATTAATGATTATTTTTTAGGTATTAATGATTATCCAATGGTAATCCTTTCAATTTTAATTTTAGATTTTAAGATTTAAATTAAATACATATATAAATATAAATCAATAAAAATCATCTATAAAATAAAATTCACAGGCGACATTATCCACATCATGCTAATTGTGCCAACGACTAAAAAAAATATGCATATATTACTTTTTTTTTATCAAATACTAGCGTTCAGACGGGCACTCCCGTGCCCGTCTGCCCGCTTTTTTTAATGCGCACAGCATAGGAAAATAAACGCGTGTATATTTTGTATGAAGTTTTTATCATAGTTAAGATTAGTTAAATGCATTTGTTTTTAGATATGCTCAAGCAGTCATAAAATCAAGATGATAAATATATATATACTAAAAATATTTTAGTGAATTAAGTATACATTAATGCTACTATTAGTTTAAACATACCGAATTAAATAAAATTTAGATTAAAAAATATGCTGTTTAAACATGCTAATAATATTATTACATTTTGAAAATAACAAACAATGTTATTCTACATTATATTAAATAATTGAAAAACAGAAAGTATTATTTATACTGTGTAATCAATAACGTTCCTTAAGAGGAAGGCCGAACATAAAATCTTTATCTTGAGAATTTTCTCTCTCCCTGCAATTGTTTTCCGTAGTAAAGAAAAAATGTAAGACTCTCACATTAGAATTGCTCTAGGGAAAATATAGTGAAAGTAATAGTAATTAGTGTAATATATTATTTTTCTACCTTGTAAAGATTCGAATCAATTCTTCATACATCCTTTATCGATGCGCTCTTGAGCTTTAAAAAACTACAAATACATCATGAAATGTCATATCAACAAAGAAATACATTCAAAACATGTGATTTATTTGATTATAATCTGGTGTACTGAACCATAAATAAATGTATACCTTAAGAATGGAAATATTTTGTTTTAGTTCAGATTTGGTAGAACAACAACCCTGATTTATTTTTGAATTACGTGGATTTCTGGTAAAAAAAAGGAAAACAATGAGTTTAGTGAATATACATGGTTTTACTTACACAAACCAATAATAAAAGTAAAATTCATGCATTCAAAAATATTCTATGGATAAATATTATTAAATGAATAAAATAAAAACTTGTTCATCCTTTGAGATATTATTTCTTTTTTCACCATTTTCCAAAGTTGTGTTTTATCTGTTATCATTGTGGAGCCCCAACCGACAGAGTAAACTTTTAGACCCTTGACATGTTTTTATAAGGATGATAAAAGTGTTGGTCAAAGAGTGGTGAAAATGCAACAAACATATTTTTTTATACATGGTGCGAAAAAGGTAAATGCATCTTATTGTCTAGCTTGCTGATAGATGAAATTGTTTGTTCATCCTTCCATGTGTTCCATTTATCTTTAAAGTCCCCCATCTAAAGTTTATTCCATATAAGAATAGTGAGAATAAGTATGATCCAATTGATTGATTATAATTAAAAGCATAAAATAAAGGATTAAGTCTAGCTTACCTTTATGTCGAAGCAAGTTTCAACATTCTTCCGTCTCAGCTCCTTACATAATTGGAAGACTTCATTGTGTTCTAGTTTGACTATATATCAAAGCCACACAATTTTATACTTAGTTATATTTAGTTTTATCATATAAAGAATATAATATAATATTGGTATTTCGTGTGCAAATGAGAATCGATGTGTGAGATTATTTGTTTAATGTACGTAATGATACCTGCAGGTGCGATAAAAGAATTTGTTTAAATACTACATTTTTTGTGTAGTCACCATCTTCTCCTTCCAATTTTCCTTCCTTGGATAAAACTTTTGTTGTAGTCTGTGAAACACCTCTAGATAAAGCCACATATAACTGTCCATGACTAAAAACATATCGTGGAAGATATATTCCGACATTTGGGATGGTTTGTCCTTGTGACTTATTTATTGTAATTGCAAAACTTAGTCGCACAGGAAACTGCTTTCTACTAAGGACAAAGGGCAACCCATCACTGGCCGATGTTTTTATTTTAATTCTGGACAAGAAAGCTCGTCTTCCTATGTTGTTTCCTATCAAGACTTCCACATCCAACATATTCATATATAACCCACGATATAATAACCGCGTCCTGTTACACAGCTCATATCTAGGATCTAGATTTCGCAACAACATCAATGGTGCACCCTTTTTTATCTTTAGAATATGCGGGGGCAAACTACCTTGTGCAATTGAGTTTAAGAATTCTTGCTGGTATAAATTATTATTATCCTCTTCAACCTCGTCAAATGACAACAAATTATGTTCTTCTAGAAACTGGTCAATACTTATATCATTTAATTTTTGGACATCATCGTTTGTTGGGGTCAAAATAGCTCTTTGTACCATATAAAGGGCATCCCAACCATGCAATTCTAAATCAGGAAAAATATGTTGCATAAGCACTTGTATGGAATGTTCACCTTCCCATGGGACTGCATATGAAACTTTGAATAGTGAATTATCTCAAAAAATGTCTTAAAAACTTATGAAAGCCACAGTTTTCAAGTCAAAGATTTATGTTAGCTGGCTTAACCAACGTAAATATTTGTATGTTCTCTATCTTTTTCATTAACGTTCTTACACTTACAAATTTGGTTTTGGTAAGTGAAAATATTTGAATAGATATAATCAATCCATTATAAGAAATCTGTTACATGGTATAAAATTTTCAAATTCCAAATTGTTTTTTGCATTAAGATTTTGTTATATATTGGTTCTCTGAACATAGAATGATTGCACTTCATATAATCTTATTTTGCATATAGGTTCAAGAAAATTTTCAGTTTCATTATCAATAAAGATAAGGTTCAAAAATTAGTGAAAAGCTCATAAATCTCAAGTTTAGCCACAGTCCAACAAATATGACTTTTAATCATGAATATTGTTTGATGTATGAATGATTAATGGAGTTTGACACCAAAAAACTAAATGCTAACTAACCATTATTTATTTTGCTAAGAGTTCAAATCTAAATCAAATAGAGAATCAAATCATGATAATAGTAAAGAAACACGGTAACTAATATCAAGAAATTGTCTAAGATACTCCAAGATGAAACAAATCCTATGAGATATTCCAAAATGATATCAAGATATTGTAACATATGTTTGGATCTTCAAAGGCCCCCTCACAAGCTTTAACCTTGTTACAAATGTGCCATTTAAAAGAAAGTAAATAAATTATTCAGTTCAATATTTAAAATTGGTTTCTATACAATATATACAGGGAATACTTTGTTTTGGTGTGACTTATTTTTCTACCATTTTTACCCTTATTTTATTGTATAATTTACTTAATAACTTCTTATTATTAACTTCCACATAATTTATTATTTTTAACTTCTACGTAATTTATTATTATTAACTTCCACATAATATATTTTTGAAAAAAATTATTTAAAAAAAAATATCGTTTATATTTTTATACACACTAAAAAAAGTAGAAGAAGAAAAAAAAGGGAAAACGTGGGGAGCCACCCCATTTTTCTAAAAGTGTGATAAAACATTAAATTAAAAAAATTAACTAATTCAATTGATAATTAAGATGATTTTATGACTTTTTCAACCAAATATATTTTTATTGATTCAATTATTATTTTAATTAAACCTTAAATATATTAAGTATATCAATTAATTCTAATTATTTTAGAACCAAAAATATTAAGTATTGATTTGATGAAGAAAGAAGAAAAAAAAAACTATTCTTAATTGATTCAATAATGAATAATTGATTAGTAATTTTAATTTATTATCAATAATAATTATAAAAAAAAAATAAAAGGTTACAAAATGGAAACAGAAAAAGTAAATTTGGGGAACGTTCCACATACATATATTTTTTATATTTTATTTATAAAAAAAATTCAATTAAATAAATTTTTTTTTACTTTTTCAAAACAAAATAAAAGCTAATGAAAACCCAACACATGACATTGCAATTACAAACAAAACAAAATAATAAAATTCAAAACTCAGTAACCGTACTTACAACTTCTCTCCCTCATTCAATTAGTTTTTGTTTTATGTTAAATTTTGGTTTATGTTTTGTAACAGATGTTCATTCCACTCGCTTCATTCGCTTTATTGGATGTGTTATGACTAATTTTTTTTTTACAGAAACTTGGAGTTAATTTGATTTACACTGGATTTTGATTTAAAACATATATGCCGTTTTTTGTTAATAGCCTTAAAGTTTACTGGACTATAATTATGATTTATATTAAATGATAATGATAACTATGAACTAACAATTAGCAGTGAAACCGTATAAACATGAAGTTGTTTATAAATTTTTTTGGATAATTAAGAATTAAGAATTAACAATTAGATAGTGATCTATCATACGCAATTAGTATAACCACATCTTAAAACTCTCTATTTGTAACCTCCCTGAATGTTACAGACTTTAAGAGGACATTACATGAAGGCTATATGGAACTATATTATGCATTAATAAGAGGTACCTGCAAGTCATCCACTTCCCCAAATGAGATCTCTGGAACATCTATGTGCCCCCAACCAACTTCTTATTCCCTTGTATAATCAATTCGCCTATATCCATTTGCAAAACATGAATTGTAAAACAGTTAAACATAAAAGCAAGATAACAAAATAAAGTACATACTCACCTTTCACTTTTAAGGACAATTCATATGTGAAACTGACACGTTTATTATTTCGAACAACCACCACAAGTGCCTATAACAAATATATATAATTAAGTGCCTATAACAAAGATGTGATGAATGCTTAATAAATTTATTCAATTATATTTTTAAAAAAATATCTGACAAAAATAATATCAGAATGAGTTTGTTGAGAGTCTTGATCTACACTAATAGAGGTATGCACGGGTTGACAAAGAAAGGGAGAGAGAGAGAGAGATATGATTAATTTGCAAATAGCTTGACAAATTGAGAGAAATAGTTTGTAAATGGCTTGGAGAGAGACTCACTTTGCATAGAGGAGTTAGTATGAATGTTAATGATAGGAAGGACTATGGAGATAGTGGGAAGTTATTTTTTATAGTTATTATTTAGTATTATTATTAAATAAAATCAAGTGAGAAATTAAGCATTAAGGTAAAGGGTAAATATGGAATAAAAATATGAAATTAAACATTAATGAAGGGTAATTATGGAACAAAAATAGGCCACACCAAAAAGAAGTATCCCCTTTATATATAGTTATAGATGAAATAGGGGATTAGAACAGTTTAAAAATAAAATAGAGAATTATTTCGTGAATAAACTAAAATAGAGGGAATTATACTGTAATTTAATTTAGTCATTATTTTACTAATACTCTTTTATAATACTATTTTTGAAATTTAATTAATACTGAATAACATTATTAATAGCATATTCATTGACAAAATATTCATCACATTATTAATTTAGACTAAACAATCACAACATATATATTTAAAGCATATTCATCACATAATTAATATAAACTAAATATTCACAACATATTCATCACATTATTTTTTGAAATTTTACATTATTAACAACATATTTATAACCAACTAACATTAACATGCTTTCAATAATAAAATAATTTTAAAAAAAAAAAGAAAAAGAAAATGAACATGTACCTTAAAAATAATTTCTAAAATATGAAGCAAAAGAGCAAAAATGAGTGTGTACCATCAAATATCTACCTTTAAATCTCCCCTTTAGTAATAAATTAAATAGTACTACAATAGAAAAAGAGAGAGACAAAGAAGAACATAAATAAAAAAGGAAATGAGAAGAAGAAAAAGAAAATGATATTTGTTCTTTCCAACCATAGTGAAAGACTCGATGCATAACTTTTTACTACGATTTTATCTTTTAGTCGTGGTGATATGTTCATTTGGTACTATAACATATGTGGAATACTTATTTCATCAACTACTCATTAAACATATAACATTTTATTCTGATACATAAACTAATAATTTGACAAATTAAGTTATAATAGAATAACAAGTTACAATATTTAATGTTTTTCTAGCTTTCTTCCTTTTATTATTTGTATCTAGCATTTTTAGTGTTAGAAATTAGGTTCAATGCTTGTGACTCTTCAACCAATAATTAATTCTCTTGGTTTTTAAACTAGTAAAGAAGGAAGTGTTTATTGAAAATCTACAAGCATTAAACTAAATTTTAACTCTCAATGAGGGAAATACGTAGAATTAAGTAAGAAATCTCGAAAAACATTGATCAATGTAAGTTATTTTTTAACATACCATAATTTCTATATTATAAATTTTTAATTCAATTAGAAAGATTATTTAGTTTGTGACGGGTTGGTAAAACACTCAAATCACATATGACATAATTAACTCATTATATAGGACATGTTGGTTTAACTTAGTGAAAGCTGCAATGTACAAGGTATAATCATTAAAAATCAACAACATACAACATATAAATCTTCACCAACAACATACAACATATACCAACAAAAATTAAATCATCAACAACATACCTTAAACAAAATATAACATATATAAACAGAAACTAAATCATGAAAACCATACAACTTTTATTAACAACAATATACAACATATATAAACAAACACTATGACAAAAAAGACCTTTAGCAGCGCTTTTTTTGGTCTTTAGCAGCACTTTAAAGCGCTGCCAAAAGTGGCGTTGCTAAAGGTAAAGACAGCGTTTTTTTTTCAATGAAAAAGCGCTGCTAAAAGCTCCCTTCAGCAGCACCTTTAGCAGCGCTTTTTTAGCCCTTTAGCAGCGCTTTTGTAAGCGCTGCATAATTCCCCCAACCATCCCCCCCTTTAGCAGCGCTTTAAAAAAGCGCTGTCTTAGACCCCCCTTTAGCAACGCTTTTGCAAAAGCGCTGCCATAGCCCACCCTTTAGCAGCGCTTTTTACAAGCGCTGCCTTAGACTCCCCCTTCCAAACCAATAGCAGCGCTTTTGTAGCGTAATATTTGTGACCTTTAGCAGCGCTTTTATGTAAAAGCGCTGTCTAATGTCCTAGATTTTAAAATTTTTTTTTTATAAAATATTAACCCTGTTTTGTATATTTTACCAACAACCTGCTTATAATTAAGGCCTTTATTTCATCACTTTGGCCTTATCAATAAAATTCAAACTTTGGCCTTAAATATACCATTCAAACTTTGGCCTTATATGTACAATTCAAAACTTTGGATGTAACTCATGACTTTGTTCATAAACATTTTAATATACACATAAACCTATTTAAATATGTTACAACAAAAATTGACACAAATACATTCAATTCTCAGAATTACAACAACACAAATACATTCAATTCACATATAATTACAAGTCTTCCAATCCGATAACTCTATACAATTCTCAACCCAAGAATAAATTGACACCATTCCTCTTTAATTTCTTCCAATTTTGCTTTCGTGTAAGTAG